GCCGACAACTTGGCAGGAGAGTGGTTAGAGATGTTCATGAGCAAGCCACTGCAAAACAAAAGTGCACAAGTACACAGGTGAAAAACTCTAAGCACGACACAATGGCTGACCACTGCAGCCAGCCTCTTCTTCCAGCACAAAGATGCAGCATTCGCCTTGCAGGATTACAGAGCACTTCTCATTCCCACTGTTGCTGGATCTGCCTATGCCAGACCATGACAGCTGAAGCACAGGCTGCCTTCTGCAAGGCTGCATTCTGAGCTGCAGTATCTTTGACCCTCTTGCAGCGTGCAGCTGCTTGCAGGTGAACTGCTTCCTCAAACCAAAACCAGAAAGAAAGCAAACAAAATCACTCACTGCCATTTGTATTCTCTGGCTGAATACTTGGTAGCTACAGTGCAGGCACTTGGCCCCAAGGACATGGGCAAACAAAATGCTAACCTGAATCTATGAAGACGATTCAGGCAAGTAACAGCCTCCCCACCAATTGCCATCAAATCAGAAGCAGCTATGAACTTTGACATGTTGCTGGCTGCAACGGCAATCTGCTTGGAAGAGAGGTCTTCCATGCGGAGCTGCCGGGGGCCACGAAGCAGCTCTTTCTGCGAGGCAGAGAAAATGTTGGCAAGGTCCTGTATATCCTCCATGCCACGACTTTCCTGCGAGCTCTCCCCCTGTGAGGAATGAGAGCCTCAAGTTGAGGGAAGTGCAGAAATTAAAGAAGCACTGGTTGTTCAGCAGGATTCCCTGCTAAGCCCTGTGCGAGCCCTCTTCTTTCTGCGAGAAGAGGAAGAAGGCTTCCTATCATGCTCTTCTGGCGAGAATCCTCCTTTGAAAGAGAGAAAACGAGCCCAAATACAAAAGAGGAAGACAGAATGAACATAGCATGAAGCAACGTTCAATCAACTTGCAGTCCTGTGGACAAAGCTCGACTGAGTCGAGCGTGAGCGCAAGACATGAGAAAATTGCCAGCTTGCTGCTGCTCCTGCGTCGCTCCTGCATCTGGGAGGCTTTTAGCGCTGTTGGTCCTGCAACAGCAGGGACAAGAGAGGAGGAAAACGCCTTGACTACATGCCAGAAGGGCAAGTCTTCTGTATGAACACAAACATGAATGAAGGGAGAAACGTGTCCTGGAAATTCGCCCCCGCATGCTGACACAGGAGCGACAAAGGACGGCAAGCGGGCAGACAAAACTGGACTTGAAGATGATGGCTGCCAAGTGTTAGAAACACATCCCATCCCAGCAAAGGGGCTTCACCACAAGCCAGACCCACCAATATTTGCAAGGCCAAGAAGAGCCGATCAACTAAGGTATGGAAAACAATCTAAACTAAGCGGCTAGTCCGCCGGCAATAACGCCCACTAGGTAGCTTGGGGACCATGAATCAATGAAGGTAGTGGTTGTTCTAGCTTTCTTGTGTAACTAGAGGCGGCTAGTCCGCCGGCGGTCAGCCGCCTTTTGCGTTACTTGCTATGTTTCTTGAAGAATGAAAAAATGTTACAGTGGACTGTGACTTGTTCAAACCTACTGAAAGAAGTGTTAGAAAGACTACTGTTCATCGTTCTAAGCGGATAAGCCGCCGGCGACAGTGACGCCCCAATGCTACGAACCTACAGCCGCGGCTAGTCCGCCAGCTAGCTCCCGCTCTAGCTATTTGGAATGTTGCACACAAAAAGCACAAGCCCATGATATATCCCTGGCACTTTCCACCCAAGCTCACTGAAATGTAGCTGCCAGCAAGCGAATTACTACAGAACCACCACATCAGGTGCATACACTCAATGGGGCGGAGATAATTAAGCCAGTTCCTGACCAGCAAGCCAGGGGTCTTCTAGAAGCCATCTCAGCGATGGACAAAATCATGTAGCCTGGAGTCATGGTGAAGATGAATGGAGGGAACATGGACTGTACAGTCACAGCTTTGGGGTTGCCCAGGGCTTGGGCCTTGGGGGCGTGTCTTTACAAAGCCAAAACCTGGCTTCATGCAAAGCCTGCAACACCCAAGAACGAACACACACATATTGCACTTGCAGTTTCATTCATAATTGGTGTTCGTCTTGCTACCAAGAAGCAGAGGATCAAAGATTATCACATCTCCACATCAGAAGCACTGCTGAAATCATGCTCCTCAGGCTACAGCCAAAAGGTAATGCTACTTCTCGCAGAAAACGCCACAAGCATGAGTCACAACATTGGCATTGGACCCTTGCTTAACAGCAAAGGCAAGCAAGATTCCACAAACTCCCAGCTGTCAGAATCATCAAGTCCATCTTCGGACAAGGAGTCAACCGCATAGGGTGGAGGCATGGCAAGCCGAGGAACCTTCCCAGGAAATACAGGGCTACAGAAAATACTGAGGCCCTATCATTTGTGATAGAATGTCAGCAAGCATGTGCAGTCTTCAACAATGGCTGCAAAGAGGTTCAGTGCAACTCCCATCTTCTAAAACACAACCAGGTCTGAACTGATACAGGCAGAAGCCAGTCTGCAAAGTAGTTTGGCCCGTACAAACTGACAACAAAGCAAACAACCATCCCAAGCCACGTGCCTTGAAGGGAAGTTGCCGTGCCGATTCCAGAAACGGCTCCTTGGGCTCCAACTCATGAACCTGAGGCATGTTCAAGCTCAGGAAGAGGGCTGGAAATACCAATAACCACCAATTGCCATGTGCAAGTGGGGGAATGGAAGCCTCCAGCTCTACTGAGTTAGCAACAGTTGTTCCCGAGGAAAGACCAATGCAATTGTAGACATTGAAATTGACTGACTGTGAATGACTCTTGCTACACAAAAAACCGTAAAGCCAATGTCGATATAATATTTCTCAAACACAAATACAAGTGCATCTGTTGCATTCAATGAAGCCCGCAAGTGTGTAAGCTCCAGGTGATCTGTCACTGTCGCTATAGCACAACACAATTCCACCAGGTAGCCTGCAGAGCTTGCCATGACAAGAGTGAGAGCCTGGCGCCGCTGCGGGCATAGCGTCTAAAAGCACGAGTAGGATCTGGGAGTCGAGAATCGAAGTCCTCAGGTGACTCCTCTGAAAAATTCTCCCAGACCTAAAGAATGCAGCTTCACAATGGCCCTACTGTTTTCTTTATTATTTTATTCAGAAACAAGTGAGCACAATGGTTCTGAAAACAGCTGGGACACCTCATCCAACAGAAGGCTTACAATGTCAGACATGATGTCTTCGACTCTGTCCAACACAATATTGCGTGGAATGTAGAGTCTGGCCAGGATCAGGTTTGCAACCTCAAGCCGAAAATTTACAAGGAAATCTCCAACCCAAAACAAAGATAGGTACATGTGAATTAATGGTTCTCCCATAGACGAGCAAGAGACTGCATAACCAAAGGTACGCGTGTAAGCCGCACTAGCAGACATCTCCGCCCCACCCCTCCACCATTGACCGTGCTCCTCATGGAGCTGGCCAGCTGCACGCTCCAAGAACCTCAGGATATAAACCGCGGGGGCAGGCACTATTCCCAGACAATGTTCCATGACCTAGCCTTCGGCTATTACGAAGAGGGAAGCACAAAGAATAGGTAAATGCATGCCAGAAACAACAACCTCATAGTCATATTCATGGAAAGGGCCACGAGGCCGCGAAGAACAAACAGGTCCGTGCCGCGGAGCTGCAAGGGTTTCCTGAGGTCAAGAAAGGGCACACGAGAAGCTCCAAAACCGACCTACAAAATTAAGGCAAGTAGCGGAGTCGTGAAACCAAAAGAACCCATGAAGATGGAGCCCTTCTGCGAAGAGGTGGCATCCAGGGTCGCCTAAGGAAGCACAAGTTCATTGAACCAGTGCGTCAATACATGTGATGTCATATTTACCATAATAGTGAATACAGAAGGAAAAGGTAGTTTCAAGACAAGCACAGAAGCCACCATGTCCGAGAGATGAAACATCACAGACCCACGGGGTTGCTCAGTAATGTTGAAGACCTTGATGTTGTTGGCCAGCTGCATCAGGTGCGATTCCAGGATCTACCAGGGGAGCTGAGTATTTTCGTATTTGAGTTGATAAGCATTAAGACAGATATGCCAAACAGTGTGGTCCCAAAAGAAAGCCAGTTTTATCCCAGTAACGGCTATCTGGTTGCCCTCATGAACTGAAGTCAGGGACTCGTTGCCCTCGGGATACTCATGGCGTCGCCTGGAATTCAGGAAACAAGTGCTGAGATTTTTATATTCTCCATGCTCAGACCATTCACTTACAATGGACAAGTGGGAATATTGCATCCTAGATGCGTCACTCCAAAGCAGGCAGGTACAAATGAGGAGCATTTGGGAGCACTCCAACGCAGACCGCCCATGCGGACGGAAAGCAGGGCCCCAATACCTTGAATGGAGACACGTACCCCGAAACAACACAAGCCAGAACAACTCAACCACAGTACTGTACTGCATAGGATCATCCAGGGAGCTGCGAACTTTCCCTTCGTAGCACAGCACGTTGTCACACTCATTGATGCTGATGTCCAAAGAGACTGTTTGCAGGCCCATCTAGGATACAGGATCAAGTGTCCAGAAAAAGGCATGCTATTGAACTGAACACTTAAAAACAAGAGTCCAACAACTAGCTGCATAGTTTCACTTCAAGATGCATCTCTGCATGCTGCACTGAGAGCACCTCTGCCAGCATACATCTCCAAGACATCGTTGCATCGAGCAGGGTGATCGGGCTGCATGAAGGCAGCATCCAGAGCAAACGAAAAGTGATCTTCAACGATCAGCTTCATCCATCCAGGAAGCCCGCGAACCACATCACTGTTTGCAGCCATGACCGAAAACCCCGAACCCTGCTGACAAAATCACAAAATGACTGCGAGAGGGTTGAAGTATCAAGACACTCCAAGCAGAACGCAGTATGGATGTGGCACGGTCATTCAAGCAGAATGTATATGGGCTCCTATGATTTTGTGGCCTTTTTTAACCATCAGCCTTTGTACTATATAGCCTTGCCTTACGTGACGTCTCCTCCGGCGTCCAAGGCCTGGATGTGATGAACGAACAGGGCAAGGCCAGGCCCCCCCTTCCCCCCGTGTTCCGCTCCCCCCGCGTTCCGCTGTGAGACTTCGTGGGGCTCCCGGCTTGCGGATGCTTGCGGATGCTCGCGGGCTTTTCAGGACCCACGTTCCATCCCAATGCTGTGGGAGCTGAGCCAGAGTGTCGAGCGTGTGCCAGGCGCGTCGGATGCTATAAGATATAGTCTCCTTGTCTGGATTCAGCTTTGGCCGCGGCAAGGAACAAGGGTTCGACGGGACCGGCAGAACTATGCGACTTGCATTTTGCCAGGCAGCGGGGATCAGGAATGCGAACAGGATAGCTAATGACTCAGAAGACATGCCGCGCGTTCGCGCAAGTGCTTCACGATTCACGACTGACGGCGATTGACCACCCATCGTTTGCGAAGAAGAACGAACGAGCTGGGCAGGAATGTTGTGGCACTCAAGCCGGCGGCGCTGGGTGCTCGGCATTGAGAAGCTGGCGCTGCAGGGCATCTTTGCAGAGGACAGGGCTTTTTCTGCTGGAAGTCGAGTGGTGGCTTGACTTCAACACAGCATGGAGGACTTGAAGGATACGAACTTCCCGCAGAAGTTGCTGGGTGATCTGGCCGGGAATGCGTTCACCACGCCAGAAGCCGAGTTCCCTGAAAAGGTTCTAGCCTCTACTCCTGGGGACATCGTCCCATAGATTCAGGTCCTGCGTGAGTTTCACAAGTCGGTTTTCAGGTCCGTCTGCGCAGCCAACCTGATCGCTCTCTTGACTTGTTCCTCTCTGGCGACCGAGACACGTGAAGTGCTTTCCTGATCAGTGCATGCGATCTGCGCGATCTGCGCGGTCTGCGCGATCTGCACGCTGTCAGACGGGCAGCGATCGTTTTCGAGATCACAGCTCTTGGGGTCGGCGCTGTGCTGGGGTGTTAGACGGTTAGACTGCTGGAGATCCCAACATATGTCATCTCTGAGTCTGGGAGACTCGCAAGTTTCCGCAAAGCACTCTTGTTTTGAGAAAATATTTGGTTTCTTGAGACCTGTCGGACCAGTTTGAATCTCCACCAGTTGTGGGGGGGGAGTCTCCTCTCGACTGTACAGTGACAATCGAGAGCGGGAGTGTGTCGGATGTCGTGCGGGACAGCTTCGTGGCTTCTGTGTGAAATTTGTACAAGTATTGTTGGGTCATCAGGGAAAGGCGCAGGCCAACCGTGATTAGGCCTTGTTAGGGCAGGTCAACGGATTTCACCTTTGATTTCTTTCCCCTTGTTTCCCCGCAACGATCCGCAGATGCCGCGCATCAAAAGCCCGGACTTGCCCAGATGCACCAGACTGGACCTTGTTCTCTGGAAGCTTGAAGCCTGCATTGAAGTATTGAAGCCTGCAAGATCTTCTGCGACTCTCTCTTACAAGCCGCGTCTCTTAGGAAAGAAATGCAATCACATGACTTCTACATGAACCCTAGCCCAGACCTGGAGAACGAGATATCTCAGGCACCGTGCAAGCGCGAGGTTTGCATGCAAAGGCCCGGAAGCCCACAACGCGTGAGCCGGCCCGCATGGCCGCAGCGCTGCGCGTCGCTGCACAGGCCTGAAGCTGGGAGCATTGAGGAGCATCTCGAAGAGCATCTTCGAGAGCTGGGGATGTCCAAGGAAAGGCTGGGTTCCAAGGAGCGCCTGGGCTCCAAGCATCGCCTGGGCTCCAAGGAGGGTGCGCGGAAGCGCATGGGGGAGAGCGAGCCGCAGCGGTTGCCGCGGGACCGCAGTGGTAAGCTCATCATACCACCCACGACCAGCCCTTCGTCGCACCTCTTCTTCCGCTGGTCCGAGCTCCCAGCTGCAGAGGCTCTTCAAACCGAAAGCGAGCCAAAGGAGATAAAGGAGCTGGGAAGCCAGGACAGCCAGGAGCTTCAAGACGAGGAGCTCTGAGTCGCTATCATGACAAGCGCAAGCCATATGGAAACTAAGTTTTGGGTTTATGTTGGGAGGGCATGCAAAAAAACCATTCCTGAGACGAGGCCCACTGTACACAATTCTGATTCTGGGCAGGTCCGAGACCCTAACGCTGTACATGCAACATACTTACAGCTGTTCTTCAGGCTGCCGGGGACATGTAAGGTGAAGGCGAGTGCATGGTGAGTGTCATTTTCCCGGACACCGGTATCATTATTGAGCATACTAAGCTCGGGCTCTGCTGCATAAAGTCGAGGTCCTTACTCGTCCTGCATGAAGACGCCTCAGCACCGTAGTTGCTTAGAGCGCTGCTTGTCTCTAGGAGTTGAGATGGTTTCCGTCTTTGGGCGCACAGGCCTCCTCAAGTTCCTGATGAATCCAATGATAACGTGAGCCCCCAAGGATGTAGATGTGCACCTCCCAATATTCAGCTTCATCCGCAAGCTCGTGCCAGTTCCGCCCTCCCCCCCCCCCCGGCATTGAATTCGAATCGGAGAGCGTCGGAGAGCGTCGGAGAGCGTCGGAGATCGGATCTGTCAAAATTCTGACTGTCGGGAGGAGCCCCCTGAGCTGCTCTGCGAGATCCCGGTGGCCCAGAATCACGTGATACGGCTGCTGCGGCAGCTTCCCCTAAGCTCCTCATTCTCGGATTGGGGTCCCAGTGTTGCTGTGTGTGACCAGGTCATCGAAGGTCATCGGAGTTGGCTTAGGGCCGGCTGCCGCGTTGTTGAGCTGGGCTGCGGCGTGGGGCTTCCGAGCCTCGTTTGTGCAGCTCTGGGTGCCCGTGTGGTGGCCACTGACCTGCCCACAGCTATCACGGACATGGAGACCAACAGCGCTGTGAATGGCTGGCCCCAGGCCATCTGGCAGGTGGTGGGTGGTGGCTCTGAGGGCATCCCCGTCACCAGGGAGCGCGGCGGGAAGATCGAGAAGGAGCGCTTGTCTCAGGATGCTCTGGTCGAAGAGGTGGAGCTCAGGACGGAGTTGAACTTGATGAGGTTCCGCCGCTTGACGGGCTCGGGTCCCACAGAGGGCTGGGTGCAACTGAATCGCCCCTATGGCAACCGACCTCTGCTTGTGAAGACAGAGCTGCGCCCCCCGGCGCAGCGATCCCTTGCTGGGGATTTTGGCCGTGGCACGATCATTGTCGTTCCGCTGCGGTGGGATGCTCAGGAGGCCCTGAATTTGATGAGGAGGCTGGATGACTTGGAGTCCGCTGCACTCGACCTCTCAGGGAACGACCGGGCTCTGAAGCCTGCACATACCATGCCGCCAACTCGACAGGAGCGGCTGGTTCCGAACCAAGTCATTCGCCCGCAAGGATTCCCTAGCCTTGCGGACATCGTGCTCTGCTCTGACTGTGTCTGTGAGCCAGCCTACGGCGAAAGCTGGGAAGAGCTTGTGGAGACGATTGAAAGCATCCTGGCTCCAGATGGCTACGCGATAATATCTCTGAGGCGCCGCAGCTATGATGGGATCGAGCGCTTTGTGCAGCGCCTGGCCCGTAATTTGCGTTTCCAGCGCTTTCGGCATCGGCGATCTACCGCAGAGAGCGCCGACGGCATCGACTTGATCTGCGCCACGTGGCCCGGAAAGCGGGAGCAGTTCGAAGACTCCGTAGACTCTCCCCGAAACCCACGGGAGACAGAGTTCGCAAACATGTGCATGCAGGGTATGGTTCTCGAGGGCTGAAACTGGGCAAAAACCGTAGACTGTAGTGCTTTGCATGGCGCTGTGGAGCCCCTGCCAAAGGCATGGCGGTTCTTGGCCAATTGGTGTGTCGTTTCTGAGTCGGCGGATGTAATTACGGATGTCGGCACATTGGCACTTCGACGCTGAGCGCTGAGAAGAACCACGGGGCGCTCTTGGAGAGAAGAAAGCGGGGGGAAGAGGGGTGCGGGGGGGGGGGGGGGGGGGGGGGGGGGGGGGGGGGCGGAGGCTCTCGGGTCTCTCGGGCCTCGGATGGGCTCTCGGACTCGGATGGGCTTTTAAGTCACTTGTAGATACTTTTTGCGACTCGCCATTGCTGGTGCGCCTTCTCGCTCGAAGAGCGGACTTGCGCTTCCTACGAATTATAAGCCTCGGCCATTGGTTCGTCGTCGCCTGGCTTGGTGGTTGTGTGTGTGTGTGTGTCATTGCCATGTCATTGCAATGTGTGGCTCAGAGCACATATAGTTCGTGTCGTACCGGCGGCATTTTGAGTGGGCTTGCAAAGGCTTGAAAGGCGGGACTGCGCGGAGACTGGAGATAGCAGTGGCATGGGGGGGGAGTTTGAGTTTGCAGGATGGGCCTCTTGAGCATCTTGAAGAAGATGAAGAAGGATGAGAAGGAGGCGCAACAATACGAAGCAGTCGAGGAACCACTGCGGAACCCAAGCGTGCAGTTACGCATCTTGATGCTGGGCCTGGACAACGCGGGCAAAACCACCATCTTGAAGACCTTGCCGGGGCCTTATCCATGCACAATGCAGAAATGAATATGACATGTATGACATGTTTGCCGAAGCTCTGACGAAGGTCAACATCTGGCGAAATATATATTGGAAAACAGCGTTTTAAGTCTGACGTCGCCCTCAACTGCTCACCTGAAACCACAGCCTGAACCTTACCCTCAACCCTTCCTCAGTGCTCAACCCTGAAGCTGAGACTCACATCCGTAGGCGCAAAGTAAACTCCAAGACTGTAGGGTTCCACCCGGCAGTAAATTCCGCGAGAGGTAAGATAGATTTCCGGGACAGCAATTGGGATCAGTAGAGGCGTCTTTCTCTCACCTTGTCATGTAATCTATGTCCCGAGCCGAACTCGGCAAATTGTGCCCTGTGCGCCCGAGGTCGCACGAAGATATCAGCCACATCATGCCCACCCAGGCCGGACAGTCACTGCGCTGCTGCTTTTTCTCATTTGTAGTCTTAGTTGCCCTTGTTGCGGCTGCTAAAAATCACTCAGGGCTTCAACATCAAGAGCCTGGTGCAAGACCGCCCCGGGCACAGAACGCTTGCGCTGACGGCTCACCAGCGCAACGTGTAGTAACCGAGATTTCAAGCTGAATGTCTGGGACATTGGTGGCCAGAAGACTATTCGCCCGTGGGCCTCGCTCTTTGTGATTTCCTGTTTCGCTCCTCTCTGTGCTTGATAGTTTGGAGGATTTGGACTTGGGGACCTGACCTGCAGCGCGAATTCTCAGTCATACAGGTACTGGAGCAACTACTTCGAGTCCTCAGATGCGCTGATCTACGTGATTGACAGCGCGCATCTTGTGATTTCTGCCTTCTGCAAGCTCAGATCAAGAGAATCGAGCACTCACGTAGATGATGGACAGGGTATGACAGTGGCAGAAATTTGCATCAACCTACGGAGGTGCAATCGCTAGCAAGTGTTATCCTGAGCTTTCACCCCGAGGTTCCGACAGGAGACGGCTTGAAGAGAGCGGACAGGCCATCTGGATGGGACCAATGTCCTTACTTGCATATGGCTGTTTCTTCTGCAGGAGCTGCGCGAGCTTCTTGCTGAAGACAAGTTCTCGTCTAAGCGAGTGACTTTCTGCACGTCTTCAGCGGTTGTCCGCAACAGGATCAGCGCAGGAATGGTGGTCAGGTTGTGCGGGGTCGTCTTGGTTCCCGGCAGCTCCACTTAACTCTCCGGCCAATGAGGCTTGGAGGAATTCCCTTGCTGGTGTTTGCCAACAAGCAGGATCTTCTTCAGGCGTGCAAAGCCGAACTCCCTAACCCTCTCTCTCCACCCTCCGTCTTCCCTTCCCTCCATCTTCCTCCCGGCACTTGCACCGTCTCTTACGCTTCCCCACACCTCTCATTGGGATCAAGGAAAGCTTTGTAGAAGAGACTCCCTTTCAGTGAGAGCAACAAGAAAGGCGACTCCAGCTGATGAGATCGCAGCGGCGCTGGAGTTGGTCCATTGGATATGCATTGTGTGTCAAGCATTTGTGTGCAAGCATGGTGTGCAAACATTGTGTCCAGAACAACCTGCCTCACTTGGACATCTCACAGGCAACCATCTCCGATCGTACTTGGACGATCCAGGCGGTGTTGATTTCTCCCCCCCTTCTCGCGTCATGACGAGCTCCTTAAGAAAGTCCTTGCGCGATGTCGGGAATTGAGATCCCTGGAGGCATGCAGTGCAAAGGATGGAACGGGGTTGGATGACGGCATGCAGTGGCTGATCGGCAGCATCAATGACAAGGATGACGCGCCCCTTTTTGCGATGCTTTTTGCTCAAGTTCCCACACACGGAAAATGGCTTAGCTGCTTTTTTGGCCTCTGGCCAGGCGGCCTGAGAGAGCCCTCTGAGCGGAGTCTAGGACGCTAGGAGCCCACTGAGCCCACATTGCGCTTGACGGCCTCATTTTGAGAGCAGCTGCTCGCAAGCGTTTCACTGCATGTGCAGATTGCAGCTTCGTTTGCTGTCAGCTGAACAGCCGAGAGCGGAAGTCACCTAGATTCAACTGGCATCGATGACTATTGGACACATCGCACAACACTACAATTATTATGGCTGAGCATAGTTTGAGAGAACAACGCAGGAACTCTATGATGGGTCATAGGAATGTCCTCAGTGCCTTGGACGGCTGATGAAGCACTACTGACGATCACAGTGATCACACGTGAGAGCACCAGATTGCTTTGAAGCGACCTTTCTCACACGAATCGCACCCCTTTGACGGACTTTGAGATGGACTTTGTTTGACGCTTTGTTTGACGCCTTGAGACAGACACAAAAAGGAAAGAGCCCGTTGTGAGCTCTGGAGATGTGCACTGTTGGGGCTCACCAGGGTCATCATTTTAAGCGAAAGAGCTTACCTTCAGCATCCTTCAGCTTTCTTGTTGGGAGGAGGTCGTTTGGTAGGAGTTGGCAAGAAGTTTCAGAACTTGTCCATGATGGCGGTCAGCCACATCATGCAACCTTGCGTCGTCAGCTGTGTCCAAAGTAGCAGCGCTGATGTTCGCTGGCGGAGTAGTGGGCGCGGCAGTGAAAAGCCAGGCCAAACATTTTCTGCAACAAAATAGGGTGCAGGGCTTTCACGGGTTAGGCTTCAGGGATGGGGGTTGAGGGATGCTGAGGGTTTTGAGTTCGGAGGTTCAATGCCTGAGCATTCGGCCGCCCTTAACAACAAGCGCAGCTATTATGCAGTGGTTAGAGTAACAAGGATAGTTGTTGTCATTGCTATCATCGTTATTATGAATTTTCTTATTCAAAGACTTAGCGGCTTGTGTGGGAAGGTAGCAAAGCACGAGAGCAACTTATCAGTCCGAGGACCCTGTCATATATCCTGTTATACTGTAACGAGTGCACACTCCACACATTAATTACACAAACCAGAACAGGTTGCCACGATTACCGCAGTATTATGCCTCGTCACTGGATAAGGTCGAGGCATGGTATCTTCTGTAGCCGCGTGAACAATACCTCCAGTGCTGTGTGTCTGAAATCGCTGGTGACAGACCGTGGCAGTCTGGAGCATTGCATCGCAGTCCCAAACTAGCTAGTTAAGCAAAGCGAGTGTTTGAGGTTCAAGCGGCAGCATTTCCTAAGAGCTCGGATTGCGGATACGCATTTCGACAACAGTCACCACCAGGACAGCACGTCTATCTTCGAGGGCAATTCTTGGACACGCCAGGGCTGAAGCCTTGAAAAGCGATGTTGCTCTACAGCATGATGCCACCCATGCCGATGTACGCATGGGTGAATACGTGGGGCATGAAGGCACTAGAATGAAGTGGGATGACGTGGGATAAAGTGGGGATTCCCAACAGCCTCCAACGCGCGCGCGCACGCCAGGGCAAGGGCAAAGTCAAAGGCAAGCTTCTGAAAGTGGACGACTCCTTGAAGGCCCCTGGGATCAGAGATTGTCTTAGCAGTTTAGGTTTTAGGTGCGGCCTGTTCAAAAGCCTTTCTTGGGATCAATGGGATGTGTCGGAGCTGGGTGTCACATGTTCACTCCACTGTAATGGGTCGAGATCAACATGGCTCTGCCATCAGCTCCTGTCAGGTGTGGCTCGGCAACGTTCCAGAGAGCATCCGCTGGAAGGAGCTCCGGGAACACATTGACCAGGCGGACGATCCAGACCGACTGGAGCAGAAGGCTTCAGGCCCACTTTCTACGATACTGCTCAAGAGACCCCGAGCCGGGCCTGCAATCCCCCTCCACCAGGTACGAAAGCACCCCAAGATAGCGGCTGCCATGCTAAAGCAACTATATACCTATAAGTCTATAAGGCCTCTGCATTTTGTAAGAGGCAAATAAAGGCTTGCGAAAGGCTTACGCGAAAGGCTCACGCGACAGGCTTACGCGAAAGGCTTACGCGAGGCTTACGGCTTCAGAGGTTTGAGGGCTCCAAGCCTCTAAGCTAGCCTCTGTGCAGCACGTGAAGAGCAAGTGGGTCGAGACCTTCCATGGCAAGGCAGTGCTTCCGTGCCGTGCGGGCTTCTAGGGTTTGTTAGGTCTCATGAGGTTTGTGGCGCTTTTCTTTTCGGGTTTAGGGAATGATTTTTTCCGGCATGCTCAGGGAATGCAAATCAACCAGGCCAACATGATCCAATGCTAACGAGATCCGACTCCAATCTAACATGTGCCCTGGTGCATATCGGAGTCCCCGAATGTACCTCATATCGCACCTGCTGACTGCAATCTCCGCGGAAGTACCTCGGCAATTTACAGAACTACATTCCTGGGCACGGCTGCAGACATCAGCACAAGTCCTTTCGCCACATGAGTTGGGCCCCAGCCCTGGCAAGACCTGCAGGCATACCCCAACACTCAACGCATCTCTACCCTCTAAATACAGTACTCTTCAACAGCACTGAGTACGCTTCAAGGCTCGCTTGTACTTGTTGACATATGGCGATACATGGCGTCATGTGCCGCCTGCCACAGAACGATCCACTGGACATGACACATGTCACGTGGCTCAGGGCAAAGGAACTGCAGCCATCGTGTTTGCCTTGGCCTCGGAGTGAGGAAGCAGCTCCTCCTAAGCTGAAGTCAAGCTGACATGTGTGCACACATGGGGGGACATGGGGTTCAGGGGCAAGGCAGTGAATCGCACAAGATCGCACAATAGAACAGTGCACAGCTAGAAGCTCCCTTTTGCAGTAGAAGTAGGTCTTGTCAGTTTGATTCGTTTGACTCTGTGTGTTTCTGTCGGCCTCAGGCCAGCGCTGACGAGGCCTCCCGCGCTATCCACCTCCTGAACAGGACAGCGCCCTTGTACAGGCTGCGCGGACTTTCCCAAGCAAACTCGGATGTCATACCCAGTAGTAAACACGAGAACCTCTCGCGATGATCGGACACACCGATAGTTGCAAGTTGAAGCCAGGATAAATCATCCATGCTCTCAATTCTGCATTCCGATCCATGGATTACGTAGCAATTCTCGACGCGGCATGTTCTGTTTAGACTGGAAGTGCCGATGCAGGAGCACTATTCGTGGACACTCCTTGGTGGCGGACAGCAGCGGCCTGAACAATTTGGGATCGGGGATTTGCGGTATTGCGGTAGCTAGTCGGGTGGTCCTTCTGTTCCTGCACTGTGCCTTCTCGATCCTGAAGCTGTGGCTTCAATAAGACCCTCAAGTCCTTCAAACAAATCCCGGTCGCAAGCAAGTCGCTAAACTCAACACCAACACTCCAAAAGCCCTCCCCACCCTGACCCCACACAGTACCATACAGTGCCCTAGATCTCCCAGGGTGGGTGCCCAGGGCGAAGGAGTGAGCCGGGGCGAAATCGAAATGTCACATCAGGGCTGGTTCGAGGCTTCGGGTGTTTCTGTCTTCGACTGCAGTGGGTTTCTTGAGGGTTTTGGGCTTAGTCTGCCTCTTAAGGAGGACGAGGCTCGGTACATAGGGGCAGCTCTGATGGCCTCTGTGATCGCTGTCCACCTGGTTTCAGCTTCGCGCAATCACACCTTGAGGACCTCATCCACGAGCATGTCCTGTACAACCTCCACAAGAATGCCGACGTGTCCAAGCCCTTTCTGGAACGGAGCGTCGGTGACGGGTTGATATCGGCTCCGAGCGCATTCGGGTTTCTCCCGAGGTCGCAGAAGGTGCAGCAGGTCACGCAAGGGGTGTACCTCCTGGGTCATGAGGCACACGCAAAGAATCGTGGCCAGTGGCGGTAAAGTCGGTAGGTGATGACGGCTCACTGTCCATCTGGCAGAAAGGTGAACATCGACTGGAGGCACTCCCGCGAACCTGGGAAGCCTGGGCCGCGGCCGTAGCCGTAGTGGCCGATAAAGTCGTGGTCTTGAGATGGCTGAGCGAACTTGCCCGAGGCATCCAGCTGGCGAGACGCCAGAGCCATGCCGAAGCCTCAGACCCACAGCGCCTCTGTGACGCCCGCCATCGACATGCTGTTGCGATGCTGCAATGAACGTTTGGCCAAGACACCTCCATATACCCCGCATCTTAAGCCTGCGGTGTTTGCGGGGATAGATGTGGCTCAAATGGTCGTTGCGTTAGTCAGTGTAGAACCGGAACCGCGAGACTCAAACAGGCAGAATGAAGAGTACCAGAAAACATCTACATCCAACAAGTAGAGGCATACGAAGTGTGAGTCGCGGCGGATCCGGAAACGGCGGATGCGACGGCATGGGAGACAACGCCGCCCAATCTGGAGCTGCCTTGGGCATTGTGGGCCATTTATCTGAATCTGCTTCCTTTCTGGCCTCGCATTTGCCTCAGCCCCATCCAACACTGCAAAGCAGAGCTCAAACTGTGGGCTTTGATGTGGCCTCGGCGCAGTCATGCAAGATGGGCGTTTGGACGTTGATGCAGCCGCTTTGCGTACAATGCTTGTCCAAGTAGCAGAAGGAAAGCTCGGTACACCTAGCGCGTACTTGGCAACGTTTGCTGCTCTTCTACGGTTGCCGTTGCTAGGTTAATGTTTGCATCTCTTCTCCTGCAGAGGCGCTTGCAGACTTCCGACCAGCCTGGTGGCGTGCATTTTGAATCGGTGCGAGTTGAAGGTGGGTGGCAATCGTCGTTGAGGTGTCATTGTGTTGATCGAAGTGGAGCTCCATATGCATGGAGCGGCAAAGAGTTCAAGAGCGAGGTGACAAGCAAGAAAAAGGAGGCGGAAGAGGGTGCGGCTAGCAGTTTCTTCAAAGACCCTGATGTCCAAAGGACAGCTGCTAACCTCCCCCCTGCCAAACGACACGTGGACGCCTTGGAGTCGTGGCAAATCAAGCGCAATCTCCGGCCGAAGCACAATTAGCTCATGAGGACTCTAGTCCAGTCTTTCACTTGTGGTTGTGGGCTCGCGTCCAAACTGCAAGCGTAGCGAAGGGAGGCACTTCACTCTTCACATGATGAAGCGTGCAATTGGTGAAAAAGTTGAGCTGCCTGGGCATTCTTTGAAACTGTTACTGCAGCCTGAGGCCATAAGACTCTTGCGCGAGCCTCAGGGGCGTCACCTCAGAGTCTTCGCAGACTCTTTGGATCGCTCACCAGTAATCGGTTTCAAAGTGTGGGACTTGAAGGGATCTACCAGGGACGTGTCGTCCTAAACCATGCGGAAAAGACAGCCTCCCGCACCTCTGCCCAAACCCGAACTTGTCTCATTTTTCTCGTGGCTGAGTGGCAAGGCTTTGGTCCAGCGGAAGCAGATCGGGAAGGTCCCTGCGCGGACCAGCCCCTGCCCAAGGCGCGCGTCCGGCAGACCATTGACATGTACTGAGGGTTTTGTGTGCTGTTCTGGATTGCTGTTCGGCGCCAGCTCGCCGATTCATTATGTGATTGAAACTAGATTGGTCACGTAAGTTGAGCAAAATGATGGACAAGGCACAACCTTGAGGTTAGACAACTTTTTGTATAAGAACAAGTGATGTGATTTACATAGTATCTGTTGACAAGGTGGCTACTTTCGGCACTTCTGCCATGCCCAGGCCCATTGGTGCAAGCACTCAAAAGCATTGCGGCTCTATTCGAAGTTGCTGCTTGACCTTGTTTCGCGTGAGCGTCTTAGGTTCGCCCATTCACCATCCGTGGGAACCTGGCTGGCATCCCAAACCAACAAGGCCCATATGGAGTTTTCACCTTTGTGGGGCGGTGCATGGCTTTAAGATGTTGCTGGCCAGGCGTCGTGCCTACGCGTGCAGAAACCAAACATGAACCCTGCCGCGATTCGACAAGCAGAATCTGTGAAGGTGGTGCATGGCTAGTTTGGCCATTGAACTGCTGCTTTGAAGCCCCAAGCAGAGCACCGCGAGGGCTCAAACTGCAAGGTCCATGCCGCGGAGCCGCAGGGCCTCTCTACGCAGGCTTTGTGCCGCCCACTGCACGAGTTGTTGCCTAGGCATCGTCGACAGAGGAATCACAAAAATGCGTTTTAAAAGCAGCAATGGTGATCGTAGTGTTGATAAACATAATTAGTGATGGTTTTTTCATCACTAGCCTTTAGTGTTTAGCCATGAAGCGCGACATGGCGGCATTTAGGGCAGCACGAGGGCTGCACTCCTTGCAACCAGTTCGGAACCTTCTTCCTCTGCATAGGATGTCTAGCTTAAATGGGTTGTAGGAGTTTGGGCGTGATCGTGTTTTTCAGGAAGGATTCAAAGTTCAGGGGTTTCGTTCTGACAGGGCGAGGAGGCGCGCGACATCCGGGAGATCGAAGACGTGTTCGGAGCGAATCTGCAGGACTTGGGGAGTTGAGTGGGACACGGGCCGAAACCAACAGGGGGTTATGGCGGTTAGGGGAGCCGGTTTGGGGAAGTTGGGGGTTTTGCCTCGTAGAGGCTGCGGAAACCACCAAGTGCGGCACGCCTGTCATTGCCGAGGCGAGAGGGCAATGCAAGATCCAATGTAGTGAGAGGTTTAGGGTCTAGGGTCTAGGGTCTAGGGTTTAGGGTTTAGGGTTTAGGGTTAGGGTTTAGGTTGGGGTTTAGGGTTTAGGGTTCAGCCCTGAACCATAAACCGGAGACCCTATGCCGCAGCATTTTTGCCCTACATCTGCAAGTGCTCCAGCAGAGGCCTGACGGCATTGGGGAGAAGGGGAGGGGGAGGAGTGGTTCGATGTTGCGCCTGGAGGCGTAGACCCAAACCCACAACCCTAAGTTGACAAACCTGTTGCGCTGCTGCACCTCTGCAAAGGCCGCCTTCTCGGCGGCTGCCAGGCCCCGGCCGCGGCCGGCTGCCATCTTCACCGTCCGACTCCTCAGTGTGGGTTTAGGGCACTGCAGTTTTTCTGGACCCCATAAGAAATCCAAAAAAGGGCAAAAAGGTTGCCTGCCCTCCCAAGAAGTTCCTGATCCCCCACATCCCTGTGGCCCCAGCGTTTCCCAGATACTATAATCTTACGCACGGGTTTGCGCAAAGCAGTGCTTTGCTGCAGGTTCCTAAAGTCTCGTGCAGGGATTGATGACGGCTGTGACGCCTCGGGCTCGAGCGAGGCAGTTCCCAAGTTCCAAAGCAATGCAGCGCAACGCACTCTTCATAATCCACACGTGTGGGTGAAAGCTTGAGTGTTGCTGGGCCAAAGAGCCTGGAAAACCATGCGTGGTTTTCGTGTGAACACGTGTTTCGCCTAAGCCAAATTTTACTCTACGCAAACTTGTGGAAACGACATTCAAAAAGTGGTTCTTCGCGGCGCGCGTTTTGCTTGGGAAATGCCGAGATGTAAACTGGTGTGCTACATTCGCGTCGTTTTCAGAGAGGTGCGGCTCTGGGTGCAGGCGGGTTTGTGGGCTGTCAAGGTGCCAGGTTTTCTGGCTGGCGCGACGTTTTCTGGAGGGCGTGGGTTCCTGTGGGTTCTAGGGCAATTGCAAAATTTTCGGATGTGCACTATGTATTGCGCTTCAAAGGCATGGGTTTCAGGTTCGTGGTTTTGGCTTGGGTAGGTTCAAACCCGGGATCCTTAACCCTAAAAAGGAGAATCCTAAACCCTCGCGGCCATTCGGAGCGGGCCCGATGTGGTTAAGTGGCAACGCACTGTTTTCCAGTGCTTCAACCTATCGAAGCATCAGGCTCCTTTGGAGGAACGTTCCACCCCCCCACATGTTTCAGCTGAGGACGGCGAGTCGGTGCGGCAAGGGCGGCCCTACAAGGCATCCCTGGCATGGCCTGCGTTGCCCGCTTTCCCGTGTTCACGCTTTCCCGTGTTCACGGCTCGTTGGTTACGAGACACCCCCCGGCTTAGCGTCGATATTCGGGGGGGGACTCCCAAAATGGAGAAAGAAACATCATCTTCTGGGTTTGGGGTGGGGGGTGTGGGGGGTGTGGGGGGGGGGGTGGGGGGAGAAATTAGAAGATCTCCAGTATTTACAGGGGGTGAAATATTAGAAGAAATTCTCAGAAGCATGCCATGTACATATGGTTTTCATGATGCGTTAGTTTTTTGCCAGTCAAGTAAGCAGGGGGTGCACACGGATGCTCAAAAGCTAAAGGCCACACCTTGAGACGTGAAGCACGGATATCCCATGCCAAAACAACTTGTAAAGCGACGGGAGCACCTGAAAGGCTGGGGGAACTCTCAAGAATCACCGAGCTGCGTGGCTCGGGCCGCGAGTCCCCCCCCTGTAATCCTGGCTTTGCCTGGATGCCTTCCATTGCTTCGCGCCTGTACGCGGGGTACTTGTCTGGGTCCCTCGAATGGTCGGTCGCAGCCCATCAGGGCTTATCCATCCAGGCAGCAAAATATCGATAAAAGGCTGGGGGAACTCTCAAGAAACACCGACCTGCGCGCCTGGGGCCGCGAGTCCCCCCCCCCCCCCTTATCCTGGGTTTGTTTGGTAGGCCTTCCAGTGCTTCGCGACTTTCTGAGGTGTAGTCAGAGCTTATCCAAGCCCATCCAGGCCCCGAAAAATGGATAAAACGTTGAATGTCAAGAAACACCGAGCTGCGCGCCTCGGCCCACAAGTCCCCCCCTCTGGTAGGCAGTGCTTCGAGGGGCTCCCCCGAAAATCGATAAAAGGCTGGGGGTACTCTCAAGAAATACCGAGCTGCGTGCCTCGGGTCGCGAGTCCCCCACCCCTACTTCGGATGGGCATGCAACACACGGAGAGGTTTTCTGCTTCTGCAGTCAGTGGCTTTCACACAACAAGGGTTTACGTCGGTGCGCCTGGCAATCGGACGGCAACACGGGTGGCCTTTGCCATGGGTATTAAGTCACCGAGACAGAAGCACCGGCCGTACCCCAAGGCCGCAAAGGAGGTCTCTAGCAGGTCAAAGATCTGCAGCGACAGCCCTCAACGTTTCAGGAGTTCAGCTTTTCTGAGCTACAGTTGTGACCCTTGCAAGCATCCCCAACCCCCCCCCCCCCAAGGAGAGAGTACACCCCCCCAACCAAGACATTTGTGCTAGCCACCAGCATTCTCCCCGGGGCACTGGGATCTCGCTGATGCCAGGCCCTCCTCTCCAAATCGCACTCCTTCACACCCGAGCCGCGCGCTCGGGTGGTGCCGTCTTCTTTCGGTGGAGGGTCTTAGCACGTGGGTCCAGGTAATCAGACCCCAACTTTTACGAGCCGTCGCCTTCGGTAGCCTTCGTAGAGCGCTTCTGGCCTTGCAGTTGTTTGGGTGCACCTGAGGGCCGTGTGGCAACGCTGGTACCGCAAGCTGCGCCGGGCCGTGGACTGAGGGTTGCGTCAAGATGCTCGATTTGGGGCCCGCGGGGGCTGAAGGCATGTCAACGCGAGTATGATTTGATTTGCTGGCGCTCGTTTTGATCCAAGATCTCAGTGTGTAGTACAAACATGATTGCAGGCTAGATTGCTGAACCTGAAGAGCAGAATGACGGGATACTCCTGCACAAGGAGTGATAGAGGCGATAGAGAATGAATTGCACTTGTGGGGATGAGGTTTATGGAAACGGGATCGGGCTTGTGCTTGGAGGTAGTGTGCATGTAGTGCAGCGTATGCTGCCGCATGAACTATTCAGTTCCAGATGACACGCCGTTTTCTGTTCAGAAAGCCTCCATCAACAACAAAGCCCCAAGTACCAGCCAAAATTTCCTTCGTCGCGACCATCGCCAGAAACAGGTTTTACCCTACACAGATCTTTGTAATACATCAGAAGGCCGTGTGAACATCCCAGAAAGCCACATACTGCAAGATCCTGAGCATGAAATGCATGAACAAGGACAAACACAAAATCCCAAATACACGCACCAAAGCCAAGCACAAGAAAAGGCGCAAAAATCGCAACATCATCAAATGCAGCACCAGGACATCACAACAGACACGCGCAGATTCTTGACAAAGGGGCCTGTGCTGTGTGACCATGCCTCACAACTCAATCTTGTGTCTCTTATGTAAAACAGAGCCGCAGGCGCAGATGCGCGCCAAAAGAAGCCCTCATAACGTATCCTTAGCTGCTAGAGAGACTGCACCAAAGCCCCTGAAGCCCCTTGAACCTCAACCTAGATCCGAATCCTTGCGCCTGAACTGGGGGGCCCCAAGCCTCCAAGGCCAAAGAGATCGCAGCGGTGGACAAGGCCTAGCGCTGAAATCTGATGGTTCCATACTGACATCTTGCTAGAAAAGCAGGTGTTCAGGTCCGAATCCTTAAAACGCCCTAAACTCTTAAAGCCCTTAAACCCCTTAAAACTTAAGACCTCCTTTAAAGCCACCTGCAAACCGTAAAAAATCAACAACGCCATTCACGCACCAAAACTCCCTTGAAACCCTAGCTAAGATCACTTAAAACAACAAAAAACCCAAGCGGGTAGGTTAAGTCGTATCTTCTTGTGCAAAGTCGTATCTCGGGCGCGTGCGCACAGATTGGTCAGAACCCACTTGCGCCCCCAAGCAGAAATCTCATTCACGCTGACAAACATGTGCTCCCCTCCTAGGCGTGCGGTGACAAGTGCGTATTTTGCATGTGTGTCGAGAACATGCGCGTGCGGCGCGTGCACATTGGGGGAAAGGCTTCAACATATGTCTCTGTGATGCGACTTTGCGCGTGGTGATGTGACTTCGCAGCCGCGTGTCACTGGGGAGATGTGACTTCACACCCAAAGATGGGCCCCTTGTAACACACCACAACCACTAGCCCCTAAGCGCACGAAAACCCTTGAGAGGACGTGAAGCGCAGCCGCCAGTCCGAGATCAAACATGGCCGCGTTGCTTCTCGGATGTGTTTTTTTTTTGGGACCCTTGCCAGCGGTAGATACAGTAGCAGAGACCGACTTCCCAGAGCCTTTAGTTTCAGACCTGTGTTTTGTCGTAGGCCGCTAGCTCAAGCAAATCCCCCCAAGGCCATGCTGGCGACGATGGACTACATCGCCCCGCCCTAAGACCGTCCATCCAATCGCAAACATGCTGATTGGACTCCTCGGAGAATCCTTCGGTAACCTTCATAAGACCAAAGCTCTGAAGCTGGCTACCCTACAGCTTACACCAGCCACCAAACGTATAGGATCAGCAAGCTCGTGGGCTGCCGACGCTGCTCGCTACCTGGCGAAATTTGAGACATTCAAAGCCGCAAACCCTTGCAACTGTCATCAGCCGTAAACCCTGAACCCCCCGAAACCCCAAAGAAGCCCGAACCGGGAAAGCCAAGAGCTCCTCCATCAACTTGGTCCTTTATCACCGGCCGGTTGAAAACGTTGCCTCTTCAAAGCTGCATCTCTAAGCACCAACACTAAACCCCAAAATCAGTAGGGCTCATGATATTCATCAGTCTTTGAAGCACACGTTCGCCTTTTGCATATATATATATATACACCCTATACCCAGAAGTCGCGCAGGGCAACGCGCGGGGCAACTGGAAAAAGCAGGCGCACGCTCGGGACAGACAGAGTGGGTTTGATGGATCCCCCCTAGCCTAAACCCTACAGACGAAATAGAAGCGCACAAGCTCCTCTTGATTTTTTAAGGTTGCGATCCTTTCTAAAGCTAACTTATTGGTCCTTCCTTGGGAATGGGGGGACTAGGTACCTTGTAGGCCCCCTAGAAATACCCTTTAAGACTCTAAGGGATCAAGAAGGGTACCTTATACCTGCTGTTGGGTCGACGGGGGTTTTGCGGGGGTTTAAAGTGTTGTTGAGCTTCCGGTTCCCTTTCCTGAAGTTGACTGACGAAGGTGCTGGGCTCACAAACACCCCCCTCCTCGCAGGGCCCTTTCGTCGATCCCGTTTAGAGTTGTGCCATGCAGAAGACTCTCAAACCCCAATGCTTCCGATGCTTGCACCTGCGCAGGTTGTGAGCTCGCAGCCGGCACCAGGAACCAAATCCAGTACCTCCTGGCCTGCCGCCCGCGTCGGGATCGTGGTGGCCACACTTCTCTCAGGGTCCGCGCGCGCCGTCAAGAAGGCACGCAAGGTGCCAGGCTTATGATGGTCTTGCAACAGTAGCATTGTATCCTGTTGTTGAGGACTGCAAGCAATGCCTGCAAGGTTCCATGCAAGGATGCAGTCTCAGAGTATGCTTGCCAGAAGAATGTTTACGCAGACTTGGAGTTTGTCAATGACGTTGGCTACCTTCCAGATGGAACCTCGCCAAATACGGTGAACCGTCCGGAGTCCAGCGCTGCGGACCGTCGCATTGCTGGATTTCCGTTGCCCCGAACAAGCTTCGTGAATTCGGTCCCATTGAACGGTTCCACTGCTCGCGCCACCATGCCGGCTCCAACACACCCTCCACCAGCTGCGCCAGCTGGACCAGCGTTTGTGGGTTCCAGTGCTCGCGCCACCATGCCGGCTCCAACACACCCTCCACCAGCTGCGCCAGCTGGACCAGCGTTTGTGGGTTCCAGTGCTCGCGCCACCATGCCGGCTCCAACACACCCTCCACCAGCTGCGCCAGCTGGACCAGCGTTTGTGGGTTCCAGTGCTCGCGCCACCATGCCGGCTCCAACACACCCTCCACCAGCTGCGCCAGCTGGACCAGCGTTTGTGGGTTCCAGTGCTCGCACCACCATGCCGGCTCCAACACACCCTCCACCAGCTGCGCCAGCTGGACCCGCGTTTGTGGGTTCCAGTGCTCGCGCCACCATGCCGGCTCCAACACACCCTCCACCAGCTGCGCCAGCTGGACCAGCGTTTGTGGGTTCCAGTGCTCGCGCCACCATGCCGGCTCCAACACACCCTCCACCAGCTGCGCCAGCTGGACCAGCGTTTGTGGGTTCCAGTGCTCGCGCCACCATGCCGGCTCCAACACACCCTCCACCAGCTGCGCCAGCTGGACCAGCGTTTGTGGGTTCCAGTGCTCGCGCCGCCATGCCGGCTCCAACACACCCTCCACCAGCTGCGCCAGCTGGACCCACCATTGCCACGCATGGAAGGTCCGAGTACAGCTTCCAGAAGGATCTCTGCGCTGGGTTTGAGTTCACGCCTTCTTCGGCTTGCAGAAGGACGCCCGCCCTGTCATCCCTGTTCAGGGTGCTGCAAGATGGTCTGAAATAGAGTCTGGCTTCTGTGTGGGATCGCCTGCAGTTGCTTTCAGCACGAACTCTGAATCACCGAAGCCGTCCCCGGAAGCCGTCCCGTAGAGGTCCGCGCCTGTCTGTAGGATGCCTATGCCGACCTGGACTACAGCAACTGGGATGCCTTGGTTACGCTCCGCCCAATCGTGAGTAGGCTTTCTAGAGGAGTGCCTGAATGCACAAGCTCGCAAGAGATTGAGGCAACGACGCGGGCTACCTGCCTGATGGAACGCTGTTTCAACTGCGCCGGCGATGCCGTCCATGCAGAGACCGTTCAGCCTGATCGTCTCTCGTCAGAGAGCTGTGTATAAGAACAAAGAGTTGAAACGTAAGAATGAGAACTGCTTAACGTCAATCATTCATAATGCAGCGATGTGGGTGGGTTGACAGGACCCTTCCATCTGAGCTGATGGGGTCATGGTAGCGTTTTGGGGCTTGGAGAAACAACCTCAGCCCTCGTTTGGCACTACGACTTAGACGACATGCCGAGCTTGGTAACTTGCAGGCAAGTGATCACCACCTTCACGGAGATGTTCGAGGCCCTCATCGAGTGAACATGTTTGAGTGCGTGCTGCCCCGAAGACCTGCGCCTTTCAACAGGGGGTGCGAGCACACATCCCAGTATCCATACCGATGTCGACTTACAGGCATGGCCCACACCACTCAAAACCCTGCGAGAGCAGCATATTGAAGACTTGCGGCTCGCTCTCGATTTCGCTCTCTCACTCTCTAGCGACTCTCTAGCCTCCGGGTTTGGCCGAGGGTTTTTGTGTAGGGCCCTGCTTGGGAGCGGACTTGAACGACTCGCAAACCCGCAAGGACACGACTTGCCGAAGCAGCTGCGCTCCATCCCGCAACTCGCCTCGGAGACAGTGCGGAGCTTGACAGGCAAAGGGGCTGCAACCGGTAGGGCATTGCCAATATGGTTGCCAACATTACTCGCGTGTTGAGGAGCGTCGTATCACTCCATGAGAGCATCGTATCTCACTTCAGCCTTCAAAGTTCTCTGATGCTCCGCGCCCCCAAAAGGCCAAAGCTTGGCCAAAAGCCGTGCAGCTAGACCGAAGCAGAGCATTTGTTGAGAGCGTGTGAGTTCGGCTTTGTACACTGCAACCCCGCGGCTTGGGATAAGGCTTTTGGAGGATCTTGTGTTTCGGAGTCCCAGACATTGCGGCTGTTTTAGCTGCCATGCCTTTTGAGAGATGCCGGTGGTCGCCCCCGATAGCGCCTCTAGGCCTCTAGGCTTGGCGTAGGGCCGAGATCATCCGGAAGGCTCGAGAGAAAAGAGAAAACTGCTAAGGTCAAGTGGCGATACTCAAGCTCTGAGCGCCGGCCTTGAAGTGCGCCTGGCAGCTGAATGCAGGGCAAGAAAATGCTTTGTGCAAATTTTATGCCGGGGTTGCCGAAAGTGAAGACGACGAAATGTGAAATGCATCCCCCATGTCAGCTCTTCAAAATGATATCCAATCCTATTCGCCCTGAGTGGTTAGGTGGGACAGATCAGAAAAGGGGTTCTGATACTCCACGCAACCCCTAAGCCCTTTCCTCCCCCTTCACCCTAAAGCGCATCGTTGGCATCGGCTCGAGTGTATGTTGCGGAACAAACACGGATTCAGAAACTACCCCCGATTCAGAAATTACGATTCAGAAACTACTTGGTCCGGTTCAGAACGTGCGGTTCAGCAACTATTCTCTCGGATTCAGAAACTATTTCGAACCGATTCAGAAACTGTTTGCTCAGATTATTTCTAAATCCCCCCCCCCCCCTCATTTATACCCACACTTCGACGTTCAACTCTACTCTCAATTATGTTAAATCTCACTCCCCCCCTCATTTGTACTCACACCTCTCAACTATGTTAAATCTCACCCCCATTCATTTGTACTCGCACCTCGACTTTCAACTCTTCTCTCAGAGTTATTTTGAAATCCCACCCCCCCCTCATTTGTACTCAGACTTCAACATTCAACTCTACTGTCAAATATATTAAATCTCACCCCCCCTCATTTCTCCTCTCACCTCACTCATTTCTCCGCGCACTTCGAGTTTCAATTCTTCTCTCCGGTTTATTTTAAATCACACCCCCCCTCATTTGTTCCCACACCTCGACCTTCAACTCTTCTCTCAGAGATATTTCTAAATCCCACCCCCCCTCATTTGTACTCACACTTCGACATTCAACTCTACTCTCAATTATGTTAAATCTCACCCCCACTCATTTGTACTCACACCTCGACTTTCAACTCTTCTCTCAGATCTACTCTCAACTATCCTCAATCTCACCCCCGTCATTTCTCCTCTCACCTCACTCATTTCTCCACACTTCGAGTTTCAATTCTTCTCTCCGGATTTGTTCAAATCACACCCCCCTCATTTGTTCCCACCCCTTCGACTTTCAACTCTTCTCTCAGAGATATTTCTAAATCCCACCCCCTCTCATTTGTACTCACACTTCGACATTCAACTCTACTCTCAATTATATTAAATCTCACCCCCCTCATTTCACCTCTCACCTCATTCATTTCTCCCCACACTTCGAGTTTCAATTCTTCTCTGCGGGTTATTTTCAATCACACCCCCTTCATTTGTCCTCACACCTCTCATTTGTACTCACACCTCTACTTTCAACTCTTCTGTCAGAGATAGGTATTTCTAAATCCCACCCCGCCTCATTTGTACTCACACTTCGATATTCAATTCTACTCTCAATTATATTAAATCTCACCCCCCTCATTTCTCCTCTCACCTCACTCATTTCTCCCCACGCTTCGAGTTTCAGTTCTTTTCTGCGGATTATTTTAAATCACACCTCCCTCATTTGTCCTCACACCTCGTCCTTCAACTCTTCTCTCAGAGATATTTCTAAATCCCACCCCCCCTCATTTGTACTCACACTTCGACATTCAACTCTACTCTCAATTATGTTAAATCTCACCCCCCCTCATTTCTCCTCTCACCTCACTCATTTCTCCCCACACTTCGAGTTTCAATTCTTTTCTGCGGACTTTTTTAAATCACACCTCCCTCATGTGTCCTCATACCTCGACCTTCAACTCTTCTCTCAGAGATATTTGAAAAAACCCACCCCCCCTCATGTGTACTCACACTTCGACTTTCAACTCTACTCTCAATTATAATAAATCTCACCCCCCTCATTTCTCTTCTCACCTCACTCATTTCTCCCCACACTTCGAGCTCTCCGGATTATTTTACATCACACCTCCCTCATTTGTCCTCACACCTCGACCTTCAACTCTTCTCTCAGAGATATTTCTAAATCCCACCCCCCCTCATTTGTACTCACACTTCGACATTCAACTCTACTCTCAATTATGTATAATCTCACCCCCACTCATTTGTACTCACACCTCGACTTTCAACTCTTCTCTCAGTGATATTTTTAAATCCCACCCCCCCTCACTTGTACTCACACTTCGACATTCAACTCTACTCTGAATTATGTTAAATCTCACCCGCCTCACAGTTCTCCTCTCACCTCACTCATTTCTCGCCACACTTCGAGTTTCTATTCTTCTCTCTGGATTATCTTAAATCACACCACCCTCATTTGTGCACAGACTTCGACTTTCAATTCTTCTCTCGCAGATGTTTTTTAAATCCCACCCCCCCTCATGTGTACTCACACTTCGACATTCAACTCTACTCTGAATTATGTTAAATCTCACCCCCCTCATTTCTCCTCTCACCTCACTCATTTCTCCACACTTCAAGTTTCAATTCTTCTCTCCGGTTTATTTTAAATCACACCCGCCTCATTTGTCCTCACACCTCGACCTTCAACTCTTCTCTCAGAGATATTTCTAAATCCCACCCCCCCTCATTTGTACTTACACTTCGACATTCAACTCTACTCTCAATTATGTTAAATCTCACCCCCACTCATTTGTACTCACACCTCGACTTTCAACTCTTCTCTCAGAGATATTTCAAAATCCCACCCCCCCTCACTTGTACTCACACTTCGACATTCAACTCTACTCTCAATTATGTTAAATCTCACCCGCCTCATTTCTCCTCTCACCTCACTCATTTCTCCCCACACTTCGAGTTTCAATTCTTCTCTCCGGTTTATTTTAAATCACACCTCCCTCATTTGTCCTCATACCTCGACCTTCAACTCTTCTCTCAGAGATATTTGAAAAAATCCCACCCCCCCCCTCATGTGTACTCACACTTCGACATTCAACTCTACTCTCAATTATATAAAATCTCACTCCACTCATTTGTACTCACACCTCGACTTTCAACTCTTCTCTCAGAGATATTTCTAAATCCCACCCCCCCTCATTTGTACTCACACTTCGACATTCAACTCTACTCTCAATTATATTAAATCTCACCCCCCCCCCTCATTTGTACTCACACCTCTCAACTATATTAAATCTCACCCCCACTCATTTTTACTCACACCTCGACTTTCAACTCTTCTCTCAGAGATATTTTGAAATCCTGCTCCCCCTCATTTGTACTCAGACTTCAACATTCAACTCTACTCTCAATTATGTTAAATCTCACCCCCCTCATTTCTCCTCTCACCTCACTCATTTCTCCCCACGCTTCGAGTTTCAGTTCTTTTCTGCGGATTATTTTAAATCACACCTCCCTCATTTGTCCTCACACCTCGACCTTCAACTCTTCTCTCAGACATATTTCTAAATCCCACCCCCCCTCATTTGTACTCACACTTCGACATTCAACTCTACTCTCAATTATGTTAAATCTCACCCCCCCCTCATTTCTCCTCTCACCTCATTCATTTCTCCCCACACTTCGAGTTTCAATTCTTTTCTGCAGATTTTTTTAAATCACACCTCCCTCATTTGTCCTCACACCTCGACCTTCAACTCTTCTCTCAGAGATATTTCTAAATCCCACCCCCCCTCATGTGTACTCACACTTCGACATTCAACTCTACTCTCAATTATGTTAAATCTCACCCCCCTCATTTCTCCTCTCACCTCACTCATTTCTCCCCACACTTCGAGTTTCAATTCTTTTCTGCGGGTTTTTTAAATCGCACCTCCCTCATTTGTCTTCATACCTCGACCTTCAACTCTTCTCTCAGAGATATTTCTGAATCCCACCCCCCCTCATTTGTACTCACACTTCGACATTCAACTCTACTCTCAATTATGTTAAATCTCACCCCCCACTCATTTGTACTCACACCTCGACTTTCAACTCTTCTCTCAGAGATGTTTTTTGAAATCCCACCCCCCTTCATTTGTACTCACACTTCGACATTCAACTCTACTCTGAATTATGTTAAATCTCACCCCCCCCTCATTTGTACTCACACTTCGACATTCAACTCTTCTCTCAGAGGTCTTGTTAAATCCCACCCCCCCTCCTTTGTACTCACACTTCGACATTCAACTCTACTGTCAATTATGTTAAATCTCACCCCCCCTCATTTGTACTCACACTTCGACATTCAACTCTTCTCTCAGAGGTCTTGTTCAATCCCACCCCCCCCCCTCCTTTGTACTCACACTGCGACATTCAACTCTACTCTCAATTATGCTAACTCTC